AAAAAATTAGGCGACTTCTATACGAAAACGTTTGTGCGTATCTCTGAATTAACATTTACTTTAACATTCAATATCCTATAGGAATCTTATATAAGTCTGCTTTATATTACAAATAATAAAATATATATAATTTACATAATTCTTTACAGTTACTTAATATTAACAACATACATTCATTAATATATATTTTAATCTTCAATTATAAAAAAAGACAAACATTTTCTTAACGCCACAAGCAACAAGTAGAAGGATTAGCAGCAGTATAGATAACAGCAATAATGATTAAGTTGCGCACAGCTGGATATTCCACGAGAAACTGAAGTGAATTGATCCTGAAGTTTCAGAAGTAACATATGAATTACCAGTTACAAAAAGTGTCTGTAAAGTAACGAATTCTTTGTATCTAATTGGTTTCGTTTTCTACAGCTTCCAGTATGATAAAAAATAAAAAATTAAATTAGAACAACATTTATAATAATTATTATGTATATTACTATTACTTTGGTATTAATCTATATTCCTACCATCATTCCAATCCTGTTTGCTGTAGTTTCATCCATTTATTTGTATTTCACGTGCAAAGTTGAAAAAATTAATACTCTAAAGTTGACATTTTAGTGATTTTCTCTGAAACTGTTATAGATCCAAGATGCATATGAAAGCTGGAAATGTAGCGAGTTGATACATTTATGTGGTTTTATCCATTTGTCTGTAATTTAAAATTGAAAAAAATTAACGATTAAAAATTAAAATTAACTAAATTACCTGACTTTGCTATGATTCCTATCGTTTGGTCTATGGTGATTGATGGATTTACGTCTTTGTTATATCCTTTTTGTGTTAAATTTGTAGAATTTATCCTCCCATCCAAATATCCTCTACTCCTCTATTTTGGATGTTGATGCTATCCATCCATAATCTTGTCTCCTTTCTAAATCCTGTAGAACATCCACACATATTAGAGATTTCATCGTACTTAAAGAGTACTTACCAACACCAGCGTTTAATTAAACACCGGCGTTTTTACTAAACACCTTCATGAACACCTCTGTTTAATTGAAGACCTGTGTGAACACCTGCGTTTAATTGAACACCTGCGTTTTTATTGAACACCTGTGTTTAATTGAAACATGTGCATTTTAATTGAACACCGCCGAAACAGGTGCATTTTCTCATGATATGATTACAATTATTTTAAACATGTTTTGAATACATAATTTAAAACAATAGAATTTCAAGAAAGGAGTAGTATAAAATAAAATCAATGGTTTATATCAGTAACAACCTGTGGATCTGGAGATGCATGCCGTTCCCTTCGTTATTAAATTATCTATTGGTTCTACAGGTCGCACCTGTTGCTCATCACTGCGTGCCTCCCTAAATTTTATATTAACAGCTCTTTTGGAGTAAAGCCAACCCCTGGTCTATTCAACCTTTAATCTAGGTATTAAATTACCATTGTTGGGATAATCTCTGACAACAAAAGGTTAGCGTTTCAGTAATACCTCGCATAGTACGTTTCCAAACAGTGCGGAACCGATAAAATACAAACAAATATATTCTTATAAATAAATAAATGATCAGTTTTAAAGATCCAAACAGTGCGGGATTGTGGATTAACCGCACTGTGCGAGGTATTGCAGTATTATATTTTTAGGATTTTTTTGATAGGTAAAATATAAATAAACGATTAAATTGGTTGAAATTTTGAAAGCTTTAATTTTATTTAATTAGCGGACATCTATACATTGGTATACATATAATACATCTATACATTGGTACACATAAGAATGACTAATTAGACTAAAACTACTTGACGTCTACAGGTCTTAACTTACAGTTAATTTAAACTACAACTACATCTTTCTAATCCTAAGACATACTACTCAGAAGGTATAATCATCTTCTGCTAATCTAAGCTAAACATCATCTAATCATGAGTTATTTAAATTCTACACTTAATACACATATAATACACATATACATTGATACACATATACAACAATATTAATAAAAATATCTGAAAAAAATTGCAAACTTAATCACAGCTTGTACAAAAAAAAACTTAATGACTATTGTAACATATTCAATAATTATCCAATCTCCTCGTCATCAGTTACATAACAGTTATAAACTTATTAAAATTGCAAATTCAACTGTGAATTGCAACACATATTCATAAAATAATAGAATCAGGCAGAAAGACATAGGCCGATACATCAAAATATTGTATAAATATATACTTAGACTTATTGTGCAAAAACTTAAAGACAATTGTGACACATTCATTAATTACTTATAGAATTATAAACTTATTAAAATATCATTGAGGCGCCTACATAACAAACTTATGAAAAAAAAAACTAGTTCTAGAAAATGAACTTATATAACTATTACAGCTTGTGCACAACATCAATGACAGTTATGACACGTACATTAATTATCCATCTTTTTTTATCTTCCTCGCCAATTACAAACATGTATAGAATTATTTAAACATCAAATCTAATTAATACACAAATACATATATTGTTAAACAAATTGCTATGAAATATTGTGCAAAACATCAATGACAAGTGTGACGTTAATTTTTTTTCTTTCATCAGCAGTTATAGTTAGTGAAATATCAATCAATGAATACACAGATATTACATATACACATTGATACAACTATATAAGTAACATAAATATTATAGAATAGAAATTAATAAACGCATCATCAGTTATAGACAGAATACTTATTTTAAACATTGTTTCACATTTATATAATTAAGAGAAAGTATTAGAAATATGTTAACATCTATAAATATGACTTTAGACTTAGTTTGTGCAAGAGAATTGTGACTTATCCATTAATTACCCATCATTCCACTCATCATCAGTTATAGAACAGTTATAGTAATATTAAATATCAATAAATACACATATACATTGATACACATATACAATAATTATCATTAGAAAAAGTGGACAAAAAAAAAATTGATAAATTATCAAAAAAAATTCTTTTCTATAAACATACATTTTTACTTATTTAGGGCTATTATTACTTGCAACATATTATTTGATTTTTTTTAAAAAATTATGACATCTATTAAAAAAAAATGTTTATCATCATCATTTGCCAACAGTTTAACACCTACTTATTCTAAATCTTAATTAATACACATATTATATCAGGATATATCTGTTACATATGAATATTTACTTTGAACTGAATGGGACAAAATTTTAATAAAAATAATAATTGTAACACATTCATTCATCATCAGTTACACTACTACTAGATGTATTTGAGTATGAGTATAATACATCTGTACATTGATATACATATAATACAACCATATCCGTAAAAGAAATTAAAAAAAACTAATTAAGAAACTTTTTTTTTCAATTTTTAAAGACTGCTATCTTTGTCCCATTGGACAAAAACAACCATATTTTTTTTTTAAATAATAATAAATTATAAAATTGAAATTTAGGTTCTTATAATTAATTAGGGCTGTAGTTACTTATTCTAGAAATACAATTATAAGACAGACAACAAATAACTATTTTTTTTGCTATGTTAATTATTGGAAAGCTATTCTATGAATATTGATACATTGACACAAATGTCGTATTATAAACTAACATTCAATCAATCTAATCTACAATCATTACTCATTATCTCTCTCATAGTCACTTACATAATAGAACTAGCTTCTATAGAATACATTGACACATTGATATATTCATAAATATTTTCTTAAAAACTAACATGCATCTACTCATTATCCTCCTCATAGTCACTATTAGCTTAATACACATATTATAAATTCATATATAGAATTAATCTATATATAGATTCATATAAAATAGATTCAATAGCAATAGCTGCCTATAAAAACTAAATTAAAGTTAAATAGTTAGACTTATATAATAAATTACTAATTAATTATCGGCATTTCCTCACTTATAGACCACTTGTAGTGTTCTATAATAAATGTTTAAAATTATTACACACTGAGTATGATCGTGTGTTTAAGTTATCTTAAAATCTAACATGCAATTTATTAGAGCTACAATACATGAATATAGCTGATTATGCACAACTAATTCCCTTTAGATGAAAGAAGAAGGATAGTTAAAACTCTGTGAATTATGCCCTCCACAAATACTAACTTAGAAATAAAAATTTGAGTTTGCATATTTTTGAAGAAGAAATTGCAAATACAATTTTGTTAATATTATCAACACTAATATTATATAGTGATTATATAATGGAAATCGAATACTATTCTATTTTTTTTAGTAAAGTGCTACACATATTTTTGAAAAATTGCGATTATAATATAGACATTCATTCATTGATAAATATTACTATTAGACACAAATACATTGATATTTCAGTTAGAGCAGTGGTTCCCTGTCCCATGCCATGTTAATTTCTAGATGTGTCCATTTTCGAATTGCCCCCTGTGGGACATAGGCCCCACGTTGGGAAACACTGAATTAGAGTAAAATTACAAAATACAATTATTTTAAATATATGATTTTGTTTACGCTTAGTCAATATTAGCATTCATAACTAATAATGATTAATGTAAAACGTTACATAAAGTTAAGACAGTTAACTATTTTAATAGACATCAATACGTTAGTGTAACTATTTGCATTATAAGTGCTACCTTAATAACTAATTTTCTATGTCTGCTACAATTGCTGATGTAGAAATCTGCAAAAGTAGCAACTACTTGTTAATTCTTGCCGTTTAAATCCTTATTAATTGATAAAAGATGAAACATAAATGAAAATATATGTGATTCGATTTGCATTGGTCAATTACTAATGCAAAAAGTTACATTAATAAGTCAAATAACCATCCAATTATATTACTTATAATGTGTCCTTACTACTAGTTGCTTATTAATACACATCGAGACATTGGTGCAAATGGGAAGCAACTATTTGCAATTCCCGTCTATAAGTGCTACCTTAATCATTACTTTTATCTATTACTGCTACAATTGCTGATGTACAAATCTGCAAAAGTAGCAACTACTTTGTGAATTCATGTCCTGTTTAAAATAATCAGTTATATATAACTGTTTATCGATAATGGATTAAAAGAAAATATATGAAATTAAAACTATACTAAGAACTACCTTACAATTAACACAATTCTAATTAATCAACTTGTTCATATGAAGATCAAAATATATTAATTCTAGTTATTAATTAACACATGTGCTACATCAATCATCATTAGTGCACATACATGATTTAATTAGAACGAGACATTGATTATAATTATCTGAGCTATATGTTGTCAGTTATCTTAAATACTATCTTACTTAGAACTACATTTCACACATTCATTAATTACTAATTATCTTCGGTTATATAAATTCTACGTCAAGGAAGCTTTTAATTTTATGTATAACTAGTTAAGCGAATATCATTGAATGTCATTCAATAATATTGCCTGTTTAGTCTTAGTGTTTTTAATTGTAAATCAGATTATGCAACGAGCCCCAGTTATTTGAAATGATACAATTGATAAAACTTCAAAAACTCTCCACATAATTTGTCTTACTCTCTTGGCTCCAATGAATTACAATGAAACATATAGTAATAAATAATGAAATACTTAATTTATATGTGCATCAGTTGACTAATGCTTACGACAATTACACTTAAATTATATGTTCTAACTAACTCTAAAGTTCTACTTCGATCATATGCTTAGTTACATTTAGTACAAATAAATAACATCTATACACATAGAATACATTGGTACATATAGAATACATTTACATCCATAAAATAAAACAATAACAAAATATATATGTTTATCTGTTGTCATATGTAAGTACTTACTTATAATTAGTCAGTGCTTAAGTGTTTAACCATAAACCTCATCATCGGTTATGTAATACTTGTTATTTACCTGAGCGATGTTAGGATCGTCGCTTTTAGGTTTTGTAGGATCAGCATCAGTAGATGAAGCAACATCTAATGGAGCAATAAAGACGGGAGACGCTGGAGCTTCAATAATCGGTTCAGGATCAGTGACAGTAGAAGCACTGCTCTCAAAGTTAGAAAATCCACGAAGAGTCAAAGTGGATGAAGCATCGGGTTGTGATACAGCGGTATCAGAAATATCGCAAAATGTAAAAGTGGAAGTACCATCTTGCATCGAGTTGGATGTATCCTCACGTACGATGGTGCATGGAGCTTCACGGACAATAGTAGATGAAGCAGGACGAACTATGGTGGATGTCGGAAGTCCGAATGATCCACCACGGACATATGCAAAGGCGCCAGCAGCTGCAGTCATTCTGGCTGCTTCAGCTACGTTTTGGTTGATAGTATCAACAGAGTACAAACTTTCATCATGTGGCATCAAGTAATCTTGTATGTCTTGGAGATCATCATGTCTGTCTAATCTCAATCTAATAAGTGCCTTCAATGAGACATATTTCAGAGCCAACTGGTTGTAAGTCATTACATTCACGCTGCAAGGCATGTCGCGCACCAATTGATCCTCAATATCTGTAATATATTCATCCATCTTGTTTATTTTGAAGCGAGTCCTCTCTTTCTCTTCGACATTTGTCTCATCCAGGTATCTCAAAGAAGTGCTGAGCCTCTTTTTGATTTGCAGCAATAGCAAAGCCACATTCTTATTAGATTCATAAAACACACAACCTGGAACATATAAAACATTAAACAACTCTCCTTAAAATATTCCAAAAAATTATAGGTTTACGTTTATCAGCAGGAAAAGATAAGATCTGTTGCAAAATGTTAATGTCTTTTTTCAATATTTCCAGGAAATTTTGTATGTAGCGACGTTTATTGCACAAAACGTTCTTAGCTCTCTGTAGCTTATTTTTAACTGATTCCAGTATGACCATACCTTCATTTGCCAAATCGTTGCCTATAAAGAAAACAGAAATTACAACTATATCAATTAAATACAAACAGATTACCTAATTTCGGTTGGAATCGATCGACGACTTTCAAGACTTCATCAATTGTTTGTGAATCTGTCTCGGCTTTGAAGTACCAATAAGTGTTGTTGTCGTAAATCTTGCTCAAAGCTAATATCTTCTTGTACAAGAAGTTCAAGAGCGTGGTGCACTGTTCGCATGTATCAGCTCCTTTGGTAATGAATCTGTTTAGATTTCTGAGTAGTACTTCGGTGCAATTGAACTGGGCCTGCAATTCCAAAGCGTCGGAATCCTCAACGTCGGTGAGTTTTGATTCCAAATCGTTATATTTCTCGTTCAATAATTGGTTGAGCTGTGTTAGCTTCTTGCCTTCTTTGCGGTAATTCTCAATTTCATAGAGGCGTTGTACGCATTTGTCGCAAGCTGCAAGAATATTTATAACAGTTTTATTTTTGTAAAAATTATAATATAACTTACCATTGATATGTCTACGTTGATCATGTAAGGATTGCCTGCGTTCTTTTACGCCTTCTTGAAAAGCTTTGGAGACGTTGACTTCTTCCCATCTGGCATCAGTAGTTTGTTGTTTTAGGTGAGTCCTGTACAACTTTTGGGCATTGTGGAGCTCCATAATCTTCTTGTTCAGTTTCTCTGCATTTGCATATTCCGTGTCGAGTTTAGCTTTGAGTATTTGAGCATCTGTGTTAGTGACACTCATAGCATCATCCGGTTTACTATTCTTGCGTTTTTCAGAATCATCTGATTTCTTCATGGAATCGGCATGTATCTTAGCTTTATCCAAAATCCTCCTCATATCATTTATTTTTACTTGCAGCGATTGATTTTTGTTTCTCAAACGGTGACAATTGTCAATCAACTTGCTGTTATGCTGAGATATTTTGAAGACCATACATTTTAGTTCTGCTATTGTATTTTTGCAAGAAGCACATGAAGTCTCTGTTTTTGGATCAACGTCACTAGCGACATTTTCCTGCGGTGGTGTCTCCTCAGCCGGAGCAGACGGTAATTCAGTATCCATCTCATCAAAGTTATCCTCGTCATCTTGAATATTGAATTGCTCTTCCTGATTAGAATTTACCACCTTTCCTTCCTCATCATTGTTAGAAGACATTTCCTCTAACATACCACTTAATCGCTTCTCCATGTTTGTATTTATTATTTTAATTTCCTCGATCACTTTATTTTTATTCTCGAGGTCTTTCTCCATATCTTTAATGATTTTCTTCTGCTGTTCATTATTGTTTTTAATGTTTACAATAGTGGAATTCAACACTTCCAACTCGAATTCATACTGTTCATCCTTCTTCTTCTGTTCATCGGTTATATTGTTCTTTTTCAATATAGCTATAGTCTCAAGAGCGTTGCTTAATTCCTCTTTCAATTTGAGAGTTTCTTTTCTCTCAGCCTCTAACATTTCAGAGACTTCATTATATTCTTTTTCCTTTTGAGATCTGATATTCTCCAAAGACGTTATCATTGCATTATGATCATCATTGATCTTAGTAATATCAGTGAGGTGTTGGTTATTCATATCCTCATAAGTTCTACTGACCGTATCGACCTGAACGTTGAGATTAAGAACTTTAGTCTGAAGCTCTTGGTTTTTCATCAAATATTCTTTGGCCTGACCTTCATTTTTCAGATTATTCTCTGTTATGCTCTGATGGCTTTCAGTTAGATTATCAATTTGATTGGCGTGATTATCCACCAATTGCTGGTACTGACTATTCGATTCTTTCAACATTGCCTCAGCTGCAGTAAGAGCATTAGCTAGATCTTTTTGAGTAATGGTATGAACCTTCTTTGAAGATTCATTTTTTTCACAAAGTTCCTGCAACTTCTTCTTTAGTGAAACAATTTCACAATTATTATCCTTTAACTTGCTTTCATATGACTCTTTCAATTTGCTTATCTTCAAGGAGTCCTTTTGGTCATTAGCCTGCATCAAAGCACTCATTTCTACGCTATGCATGGCACGCACATTCTCAATTTGGTTGGCATGCTCATTGTAGGCCGTAGTCAATTCAGATTGCAGTTGTTCCACCTGATTCTCAAGCAGTTTCACCTGCTCCGAATTCTCAAGCATCATACGGTCATTGTGTAAATTAACTGATTTCAATTTCTTCTCATAAATCTCGATCTGTTCCTTATGATTTTTAATAAGATTAGTGTTTTCAATGTATTTGATATCGTCCTCTTCTTTCTTGTATATTGCTTTCAGTTCATTGATCTTCGACTCATATTGATTTGCTGTTATGTCAACACTATTTCTTGTATCAGTGACCTCCAACTGCGAAGAAATAAGTGTCCTCTCGTATTGAGACACCTTGTCAGTAAGCGAAATTATTTCTTGATCCTTTGTGATCACTTCAGTTCTTTGAATATCATACAAGTACTTGAAACTTTGTTCAAGTTCATCGTTGCTTCTTTCAACATCGTACAATTTATTCCTTGTCTCATACAATTGGTTCTGCAAATCTCTTTTCTCATCATTGCACTCACAGGTCTTTTGATCAGTTGGCTCATTTTCCTCTTGTGCGCCAGTTTGCATCGACCCGTTACCCATGTTACCATCACCTCCATTATTATCATGATCATCGTCGTCATTGTTATCATCATTACCATTGTAATTATTAACATCATCTTCTTCATCTTCCTGCTCTTCTTTTATCTTGTCTTTAAGTGTCTTAATCTCCTCGTCTTTGGACAAAATCTGTTCATTTAAGGAATCCTCTCGATCACGAAAATTCTCTCTCATATCAATCAGCTCCTCATTTAATGTTCGAAACTCTCGATTGTACATTTCCTCTCTTTCGTTAAATTCTTCTTGGAGGTACCTGATTTTGGCAACGTGATTATTTCTCATATTCTCGATGACCTTTTCAGCTGCCTCCAATTGCTTTTGCTTATTTTTCAGCTCTTCCTCGACTTGCTGAAATTGGATGGAACCTTCATTTAATATTTCTTCAGTGTTATTATTACTCTCTTGTAATTTTTTTTCCAGTGATACAACTTTATTAGCTGCTTTTTTCAGAGTTGTGGTAAGATCATGCACCTGTGTATCCTTCAATGCTATCAAATCTTCTCCTTTTTTAATATCATTTTCGTATTCTTTAACTTTACGTGTATATTCTTGGGTTAAATCGGTCTTGGTTTTCTGTATAGCCTCCTCTTTTTCAGCAAGCTTTTTTTTAATGCCTACTATTTCCGCATTGTTTTTCTCAAGTGAACCTTGCATGTCGCGAATCTTCTCATCTCTCTCAGCACTAGCTTTCTCGTGCTCTTGACGGGCTTTTCTTAGCTCAATAGCCACCTTTCTTTTGCCCTCAACTGCTTCATCGATTTCGGATTTTAAAGTATTCAATTCTTTGTTATATTCTAGTTGAATATTCTCACTGTATTCACTTGCAGCGTCCAAATTTCTCATTGTGATCTCGTATAATTCCTGAGCGCTTTTGGCATCTTCCACTGCTTCGGCGCGCTCCTTCTTTGCTGTTTCCAATTGAGCTTTCAGCACGCTAATCTCTTGCTCCAGCTCCAACTGCATGTTTTCGTGTGAACAGCTTGCTGCTTCCAAATCGCTTTGGCTAGTGTCCAATAATCCTTGTAGACGTGTAACCTCCAATAAAGCATCGTTACTCACCTTCTTGGACTTCTGCAATTGAACCTGCAACGCACCTAAATCAGCCTCTAGTTGTTTGATGTGATTGATCTGAACGGCAGAGTCTAATTTCATTTGAAGCACTGTCACTTCTTCTGAGAAATCGCTGTTAGACTTCTCGAGATTCTTGATTTTCAGTTCGTAATATTTCAAAATCTGTTCGGACTTTTCATTTTGCTCATTAATTCTCAACATCAATGAAGCCACTTCTCTTTCGCGCTCGAGCAACTTAGTTTTGAAACCTTTCATTTCAATGCGATCTTTACAATCTTTGTTCACAATGTTCAATTGGAGTGACGCTAATTGTGCAGTATAATGATTCTTCATTTTTTCCAACTCAATTTGCTTGTCAATCTCGTTAGAATTTAATTTTTCTTGCATTAATTTCAGCTGCTCCTTCATTTTGTTGATTATGATATTAGCATTACTTAGTTTCTTTGAATTATCATTTCCTTTAGTGTTGTGGTGTCTCTTATGAGTGCTGTGCTCATTTTCGACATTATCATTGTATCCGGTCATTTCTTTCAGCATGTTTTCATAAGAGGTAACTTGGATCGCATGGTTTTCGTTCATTGAATTCACCTGCGCCGTGTGATCTTTAACCAATTTTTGATTTTGAATTTGAAGTGCAAGCACGTGATTCTTCAGCATATTATTTTTTTCCTTTAGTTTGCGTACTGTTCCAGTGTGTACTATATTCGTCTGCAAAGTAGTATTGGTTTTGACGAGACTATCATATTTTGGAGGTTGTACATCGTTTAATGACTGGAGAGACAAATAACGATTTTTATCTTCTTTGCGTATTTCCTCGTTGAATTTCAATAGACCATTGTGCATGTTAGGCAACGAAAGCGATCTAACCATTGTAGTACGTTTATTGGAAGCGTGGCTTCTTGATGTGCGCTTTTCAGGTTTGATATTCGAATCATCAGATGAACCACTTGGTTTCTGTGATGATCCAAAGATTTTGCTTTTCCATAAACTCTCTCTGAACTTCATGTCAGCGTTCTCTTCCATTATTGTTTTATTTTTCTCTTTGAGAATGGCCAACTTCGCCTCCAGACATAACCGATCTTCGCGAATTTTGAACTTCCTGCTTACTTTCACATCCTCGCATGGCTTTTTAACACTTTTAGTTTTTTTCAGAAACGGTTCACCAAGAGTAAACTCCAAGAATTCCGGTTTTGATGTAAGACGACCCTTCGGATATGACCATTCAAGTTCACGCATTTTATATAGCGAAACGATAGACTCGATAGATATTTCCATGTCATAGTTGTTAAATTCTAGTTTCGCCTACAGATACAAGTATTTTTTTACTACACGAAATATATTAAAACCAATAAGAAAACTTACCATTGTATCGCCCAACGCCCTTTTGATCTCCTTTTTCTTGGTACGACCAGGTTCACTCGTATCTTTAGGGTAGGCATCAATTACCTGCTACATAAAGACTTATTAGTACATGTCATTTATTTGTATTTCAACTTACAACTCCTTTCGATTCGTATTTACGCCCAGGCTTATTAAGTTCAACATTCATTCGAGAATCATTCAAATTCATATGGTGTTTTAGAACATTAAAAGTTGTTGCTATATCAGATATATCCATAAGCTCGTGGCCAACAGCTTCATCTTGCAACTCATCCGGTAAAACCGGTGCAGTAGATGGTCCTGCTCCTAAACACATTTAATTAATTATTATGTAACTCGAGACGTTGAATCAAACTTACTGTTCCTTGCTCCATGACTAGTACTCGCTTTAGTATCCCTTCTAACATATTTTAACTGGATATTCTTGATATCGTGCTCCAAATCTTTAACAATTTTGTTCTTTAATGGTTGATTTACCTAGAACGTGAGAACTTTTTAAATTCTTTATAAAAGACCAATTGCGAGTAAGTTTTACATGATACGTTATTTTCTTATTTCGTTCAAATTTAAGTTGACTAATCAATTTCCTCTCCTTGTGCTTAAGCTGGTTTATAATTGCTTCGGTGGTGAGCACCTGGTTAAGACGTGGTTTGATTTTAATCTTCTTTGCAGCTTGAGCAAACCTTTAATTAAAAACAATGAGGATGTAGATATTATATTAATAAGAGTTTATACAAACATTAATGTTGATTCGGTATTATCCAGTGAAGTGGTTGCAATCGTGGCGATGATGAGAGTTCTGCAGTTCCCTCCCAATGAGTTGGACAGGAGATGGGTCAACGCTGCGTCTTTGAAGTTGATGTGGCTATAATTGTCGACAAGTAGTCGTATAATGCGAGTTAAAATAGAAAGAGATCTGCAATTATACTTTTGAATACCAATATCTTATCATAAATTTTGACACATACCTATTTATATGTCGACTTTCTCTCAATCTGGCCCCAGTGTTTGTCTCGACAGATTTCTCGGATCCGGCCATATCCACGAAGTGCAGATGTGAAACTTGCACTAGGACATCGTCATCTTCAGATAGAGCATCGTTTGGTATTGACTCAATCACAATTTTGAATATGACGTGGCTTCTGGAACTTTGGTTGTTCAGGGGTGTGTTGAAAACCTGCCGGTTTTGGTTTCCTTTTATAATGACATCCATCATCTCGTCACTTGAACGGACAATCTGCTCGACGCAATTATCAACAGTCAAAGTGCCGCTGATATTCTCACGAATTTTCAAATCGCACTGTGCTTTGTTCAGCAAATCATTGATTTTGTCATTATAAATTTCGATGTATGAGCTACGCAACAGGTATTTTCTTCTGGTGTCGCTCTTGATCAGACGGAAAATATCTTCTATCGCCAACGGGATAATGCCTTTATCCTTGTGATCGCCCATGTTGGTATATGTCTTGCCGGACGATGATTCACCATAAGCTATAACTGTGCCGTTGATGCCATTCACTGCCGACTTGACGATGGGTTTCACAGAGTTGTAGACATCTTTGTTGGAATTTTCCGCACCATATATGTTTCCTAATAGGAAATACAAGAAGATTAGAGACTTATACATATTGTTTTAAAGATATTAAGTTACCAAAGGTGTATTCAATGTTTTGTGGGACTTCACCAGATTCTGGCAGAAAATGTAACGTGTTATTAACAGGTTTCCAATATTCTTTGCTGCCCTCATTCTGATGACCCTTGACTGCAGGTCTAACCCTCACAACAACATTTATCGCATCTTGCTTATCCTCCATTTTGGAATTTTTATTCACTTTTACCGCCGACTTAGCACCTATTATTGGCAATACAACATATATAACATTAAAAATAATAACCATGATTACATCATCAATTTAAAGTACACAACACTACACAAGTTTTAATCATAACCCCCAGGTCAAATTTTTCCCATTACACTAATTTAATCTACTACTAACAACTAAAAACGCATCCTCCATTATAATCATTAAAAATAAAACTTTGTTAATTATATTAATAAGCTTTCAAAATATACAGAAAAATACTAAATGTTACTAAGACGTAATTTAATAATAATTAAAGATAAATCAGAATTAATTTTATTTCCAATTTTTTTAAATAGAAATAAATAATGTCTTTTCTTTATAGAGAAAAAAATACAAGAGAAATGTTCAACATGTAAATTCGCATAATAATTAAATTTAAATTAAAACTAGTATTAAAAAAATAAAATACTTAAAACCTTTTATTGCTTAATTAACATTTCGCAGAACTAATCCTGAGATTATAATTGAACTGAATTCGCATTTATCTAATGTTTGCCAAATCTAATCCAATATTGTCTTAGCCTAATCTCTAATATATTAGATAATTATTATATTTATAATGATTAAAAAATTATAAAAATAAACCTAATCTAATTTAAACCCAACATAATCTGTAACCTAGCGCAACAGAATCTCTAACTTTGTCCAACCTGACCTGACCTAACTTAGTTGTGTGGGTACGTCTGGAAAGTGAAGTCGCGCGCGCATAACCCTGTATACTTCCGTATACAAGCGGGAGAACACGCACGTAATAAAGAAGTACCATGACCTTTCCCAAAATATACCCTAAGCTAACGTAGCGTGACCTATTATATTGACAAACACGACGCATATTGAAATACCGAAATAACTCGTTTGAAACTGCACTAATCGGTCGGAAACAACACAAAACAGATTTCACTATATAAACAATACGTATGTGTATCATTTTTAATAAATTTATATTGTTTTAAAATTATAAACCGTACTATACTGAATCCGCACTAATCGAAGCAGTACTATAAGATGTATTAATGTACAATACAGCAATATTAAAAAATCTCAATATTAGTTGAATGTTATTTTCATCAACACATGTTATTCCCGGGAATTATTTTTAATTTGTGCTTCCCGTTTCCCGAAACAAAAATAAAAAAAAAATACTATCAAAACAATATACATGACTGAAAATGGTTTCAGGAAAAAATCATGAAAATAATTTGCTTCCATGTTGAATAATATGTATGTAGATCATATTCACTGTTTGCCAATTGTAATGAAGTCACTTACCTTCAATTGCTTCAGCTTCCGCCCACACAATCAAAGGACCGCCATTTTCAAACGGGATTTGCACAGACCGATGTTACATTCGAGACAAAACAAAAACAAAAAGGTGCACTGCGACCCCGGGTTCGGAGCAAACGCACAACTTGTTCCTAGTTACGCCGCTTGCGCAAATCATTCAGAGGTACAGCGGAGGATGACGGCAAAGGGGTGCAACAACAGACGGGGGCGGTGTTACAATTTGACAGACATTAATCAATACTTTCTAAATATATAATATATTTTTCAGATTTTCAGTTTGAAGAACATAAAATTATCATATAAATGATATTAGAAATGATACAACCTTTGACTATTGCCAATAAAATCCATTACTACTATATATTTTCTTAAAATTACAATTAAACAAAATTTATGATTCTTCAGCATTTACTTTAACTGAAGTGTTTCAGCAACTATAGCTTATTATTTTGTATTAGATAGATTGCTGTAATAAAAATGTAAAAAAAAATTACTTGTAAATTCATTTAAATAATTGAATCATAAGTTCAATTGGTATTAGTAAAAGATAATTTACTAATGGATGTATCCCGTCTATTCAATTGCAATATCCCCGGACCGGACATCCACCCACTCTCATTCCCAATAAAATCGATTTGACAGTTATGGAGATGGAGGATGCGCCGGGTGCATATGCTGTTCAGATGTGCAAACACCCACTGTTTATGAAAGGTCATCGATTTGAGATATTGCGTAATATTTCGTAAATATCTAGATTTAATGATGTAATTTAGCAACAAAAACAAAACAAGTTTTAGCTTATTCTTTAAATAGTTGGAAAATGTTTTGATTTATATGTATAAGTGTACTTGATAAATCGATGGAGGTGGAGGATGCGCCGGGTGCAGCAAACACCCACTCACCTTACCAATAAAATCGATTTGGCAGCCATTACTGTATCCTTCGTGTACATTCAGATGCAATATTCCAAAATAACACTTTTTTTTATATATATTTACTTGCAAATTGAAAAATTAAATTGTATATACCGAAAAAATGATGTGCGAATAGCGAATGCGCCCGGTGCTACGTGACCCCGGACAACCACCCACTCACCTTCCCAATAAAATCGATTTTGTATCCATTTTAGTACTTACATGAATTGTATTCATTTGTCAGGCCTAACATTGTCTGTTAATGGAAATAACGAATAAATGTTTCATAAATGGCGGATGTGACGGGTACATCATTCATCTCCCGAGTTACCACCCAATTTTCCCCACCCTCATCAACACAAAGTATCAATATGGACAAAACCACCTCCAAACAATATAATAATTGAAATTCAGAAAAGCAATAAAAACAAAAAGCTGTCATGACTCTGTGACAACAATTGTATTCACGTCAGCTTCAAACATCTTGATCATTGGATAAATAAATCCACTTACTTTTGTTAGGTTCCATGATGCACTCTCGTCGACTTCACATACAAAACAAACAACGGTCCCGGGACCCGGACAAGCTGCAGCTCATTGCCTACGCCGCCTGCGCGGATCTACAAGATTGATTGCGGAGGCGGCAAAAAAAACATACAGCAACAGGCGACATGTTGCGCAGGCCGTCTACCACCGCCGCCATCATTATGCATTTCTTTTTATTTGTAAACTAATACAAGCAAATATGATGTAAACTGATTTATAATTTCAAAATTTTAAATTTTCTTTATACTAAGAATATTTTATTCAGAAAAATTATGAAAAAATAAAAATATTTAAATAAATAATTACTAAGATTAAATACGCCATTATTAATTAGTATAAGCTGTATCAATTAATGTGGAGGAGATGCAGCAATGGCGGAAGCAGCTGTCGTGCGCTTCGTAATTAATGGGCAACCAGTTGCTGGTAGATCTTAAAAAGTTTGGAAAACAACAGCTGGAAGCTTTCGGTTCATCACGCGATTCCTAAGTTTTGAATAACGATCGATTATATTGGGGGTGGGCGATGCAGGTAATACCGTAATGGCGGACAATCTGGGTGCAGTCGCCGTGAGTTTTCCAATTAAAAACTAACTAATTAATAAATTCATCTTAACAAAACGTTAAAACATCAGCTAAACCCGTTATTTCCATCAAGGAATTGTTTGATAGAAATGATAGATTATAATATAATGGGAATATGTATACGCATTAATGGCGGACGCGCCGGGTGCAGCCGCCTTTAAATTAAATTTTGTAATTAATGACCAACTAGTTGCTTGTTGGGTTTCAATTGGCGTAAACATGCATGAAACAAGTATAGTTATAGTTTGTACTCACATTGCCGTCTCATGAGAATTTGGATCTCCGAGCTGCACGATGTGGACACTGTCACGGCTCAACGAAGGATGCAGGACGAGGTCCCGGGCCGCAGACTCGCACCGGTCCGGATGACGTTTGTTGTTTTTTTTTATCTTCTGTACGTTGCTTTGCATTGCAATAACAGCTCCATCTGGAAGAACTGTTGCAGCGGGTCGATCGATTTTCCCCGGGGGTCGCTACATGCAGCGCCGGAACGTCAGTAGCGCGAGTGATTTATCCTTCCGCCCTTGCACACTTACCTCCAAATTGAGGTAAGTTCAACACTTTCGCAGACACTTTCCTTCGCCAGAAAGTCACACATTGAGGATCAATTATTCTTTATTTTTTCTTAGATTGGAGTTTCTAACCTGAAGACAAAACTCTATAAAACTATTATTTTCACCTCTAATAATACTAATTATCAATAATAATAAAAATCATAATTAAAGATAAAAATACTTATATATAGTTAAAGTATACGTAATTATATAAAGCGAAATATTATATATATGTTTATATATACATAAGTATATATATATAAGGGGCGGTGACAGCAACGATCAATACTCCATAAATATCATTATTATTATCATTTGGAGATGCATGTGCAGTGATTGAATTGCGCAGTTCATCGTGTTCCGGCCTCGCTCTGCTTTTATCACGTAGCCTCATCCATCCCAACAAATTTTATTGGCACGTTTACTACCTACTTCTACCTCGCTATCCCGGATATTCGCAACAACAACCCCACATCCCTACCCTTCGTCACTCATCCCACATCATTCCCACTCTATAATCCAAACCATCTGTTGCCAAGTGCTCTTCTGTAGGATCTTCCCATTGAGCAGGTATATTCTGATAGTTTCTTAACCGCAAATCCATTTTAATCTGATAGTTTTATTTTTTCTAACACTACTAATCTTTATTATTTTCATTATCTTCAACAAAAAAAAAATATTCTCCTTGATAATTCGTCTGAGTATAGAAAAATATTTACATTAACGTTTGCTAATAATTATTTATAATTACACTAATTCTAACGATTTTTTTTGTCTTGAAGTCCTTTTAAATATATTACTTTAAGCAAGTGTATTGTTTATGTAATTCGAAATATTTTCAAAATTGTTTCAGCAGAGATTAACTGAAGTATTGTAATCTTTATTATTTTCATTATTTTCAACAAAAAAAAATATTTTCCTTGATAATTCGTCTGAGTATATAAAAATATTTACATTAACGTTTGCTAACAATTATTTATAATTACACTAATTCTAACGATTTTTTTTTGTCTTGAAGTCCTTTTAAATATATTACTTTAAGC